CCCAACAGGCCCAAACGGGGGGACGACCCGTGACCCACTGGCCACCGAGACGAAATTCAGATCTAGGGTACACGACGCTAGCGCCACCAACGCCCCCGGCGCCGCCGCCGGCAGCGACGAGGCAGCCGAGGAGATAGCAGGAGAGCGAGATGGGGAGCCTCCGAGCTCCCCATCAGGCGCACCGCCCAGAATCCTAGGCCCAGGAGAAGCAACAGAACACTTACCGAACTTACGCCGACGGTGAGAAACCCGGATCCAGCCAGCTTCAGGTGAAGCCGCCGCCACCGACCGTCCCCGACCACCAGGGGCAAACTTGCGGGAGCGGGGCGCGACAAGGGGTGGCGCAGCCCGCCCAGGGCAGGCCGAAGGGCAGCGGGGAGAGGAGGCAGCCGACCGCGATTCCTCCTCATCAGGAGCGAGGGCCCAGAAACGAGATCCAAGCGCAGGCAGCGGAGAAGGCGGCGGAGAGAGCACCACCGGCGTGCAGGCAGGGGAGGGGAGGGAGGGAGCACCGACGAGAAGGGAGGAGGGAGGCCGAACCACGACCAGCGAACGGGGGAGGGGGACTGGGCGACTAGGGCGAGAGGGGTCGTGTACTGGGTCTTTATTCTGCTGGGCGCATGTTATGTTCCTTTTCCTTTTTTAGCAGGTTTTTTTAAATCAATTTTTTAGCAGTTTGTATAATTAGAGAGGAATACAGTCTATAGTGGTGTCGTTTGATCATGTACGTGCGTTGTATCCCATGTAGTGTGTTCTTTTTTGTCAGGCCATTTTCTGTCGGGCATGGCGCCTTGTTTGTCCGCATGACTATACATGGGTGTGGCTATACGAGCATCTGACCCAACTACATGTCCATTCAACTCCACGCTGACCTGTTCTAAAAAGAAAACTCCACGCTGACATAATTGCATGTCCATCTGTCACACGTTTGACTTAGTTGTATGTTTTTTTACACATGCAATATTATATGTGTCGGGTTGTATGTTCGTCTGGATATGTAACATTTTGCCACCTAATTTTGACCAGGTTGCATGTCCATCGTAAACTCGCAACTCGTTCTGAACCGGTTTCATTTCCACTCTTTACACACAACTTGCGATTCGACCCTAATCATGTTGCATGTCCATCTTTGACATGCCACTTGTCCGAACTAGTTGCATATTAACCCTCGACATGGAGCTCGTCCTGACCCGACCAAGTTGCATGTCTATTCTCGACATGCAACTCACCTCCCGACCTAATTGCATGTCCATATTGTAGGTCCACCCACAACGCGCAACTCACCCCGACCCAGTTGTGTGTCCACCCTCGACACATAACTCGGCTCCCGACCCAGTTGCATGTCCACCATTGACACACAATTCACCTCCCGACCTATAGTTGCATGTCCATCGTCTACACACAACTCACCTTTTCGACCTAGTTGCATGTCCACCCACGACTTGCGACTCACCTTGACCCAGTTTCATGTCCACTCTCGATAGACAACTCGTGTTGACCCCGACCCAGTTGCATGTCCACCCTCGACGCGCAAGTCGTCTTTCCGACCCAGTTGCATGTCCACACACGACTTGCAAGTCACCTCGACCTAGTTGCATGTCGACCCTCGATACGCAACTCGCCCTGACCTCGACCCAGTTGCATGCCACCCATGACTTGCAACTTACCTTGATGCAGTTGCATGTCCACCATCGATGCACAACTCACCCTGACCCCGACCCAGTTGCATGTCCACCTTTGGCGCACAACTCTCTATTTCGAACCAGTTGCATGTCCACCACCCTCGACACGCAACTCGCTATTCTGATCCAGTAGCATGTCCACCCATGACTTGCAACTCACCTCGATTCGCAACTGGGGTCCAACCTTTTTTGTCCCAGTTGCAATCTCACCACGACTTGTAACTAGGACCTGACCTTTTTGTATCAATTGCAAGTCCACCCTCAAGTCGCAACTGGGATCCGACACTTTTTATCCCGATTGTAAGTCCACCCTCGAGTCGCAACTGGGGCCCGACCTTTTTTCGCGGTTGTAATTACATTCTCGACTCGCAACTAGGCCCCAATATTTTTTGTCCTAATTGAAAGTTCACCCTTAACTCGCAACTGGGTCCAGCCATTTTTTGTCCAAGTTGGAAGTCCAACGTCGATTCGTAACTAGGGCCCAACCGTTTTTGTCCTAGTGGCAAGTCAAACCTCGACTCGCAACTAGGGGTGAACCTTTTTTATCCAAGTTGCAAGTCCACCCTCGACTAGTAACTGGGCTCAACCTTTTTTATCTGAGTTGCAAGTCCACCACCTCCGACTCGCAACTGGGGCCAACCTTTTTTGTCTGACTTGCAAGTCCACCATTGACTTGCAACTTGTGCCTAACCTTTTTTTGTCGAGTTGCAAGTCCACCCTTGACTCGCAACTAGAGCCCAACTTTTTTTTTGCGAGTTAGTCCACCCTTGACTTGCAACCGGGGCCCGAGTTTTCTAGTCCCAATTGCAAGTCCATCATCGATTTGCAACTGGGGCCCGACTTTTGTTTTGTCCCGGTTGCAAGTCCGCTGTCGACTCGCAACTGGGCTCGACCTTTTCTTGTCCCAGTTGCAAGTCCATCCTCGACTCGCAACTGGAGCCAAACCTTTTTTTGTTTCAGTTGCAAGTCTAAAGTCGACTCGCAACTGGGCCCTGACCTTTAATAGTCCGAATTGTGAGTCCTTGACACGTCAGCAGGGGTCTGACCTTCTTTGTCCCAGTTGCAAGTCTACCCCTCGACATTGAACAAATTGCAGATGAGCCGGCCCAATTAGCTAGGATACTTGTTTTTGTTTTTTTCTTCAAGATTTTTTATTTTTTTGCTTTACCATTTTTTCTTCATTAGTTTTCCTCTCCTTTTAATTCTCTATTTTTAAAAAGTCGATCTCATTTTCCCCCTTTTTTTTCAAATTCTATTTTCATAAATTCACAAGTTTCAATAAATATTCAAATTCGTAAAATTGTTCATTTTATAAAAAAAATCAAAATGTGTTCATCTTTTCAAAAAAAGTCGCAAGTTATAAAAATGTTTGTGTTTTTTTGAAACAACTACGGCCCCATATGCAAGCCCCCCTCGACTCGCAACTCATATAATAGTTTTTCCAATTGCAAGTTCACCCCCGACTCATAAATTGACACGTAGTTTATTTCATCCTAGCTGCAAGCCTATCCTTGACTTGCAACCGAGCCTATCCTTTGTATTTTCTCCCAGTTGCAAGTTCACCCTTGACTCGCAATTGGGCCCATAATTGTTTCATATTAATTCCAAGTCGAACCTTGACACGTAACCGGGCTCGTAATTTCGTAGTTTTCTCTTTTTTTGTTTTTTCTATTGGCTTTTCATTCTTTTTTGTTTTCTACCTTTCCTTTCCTTTTTATTTTTTAAATTCCTGAAACTTTTTTTCAAAATTATGACCATTTTTTAAACCATGAATATTTTAGTAATTTATGGACATATTTTCTGAGTGTGCGAACACATTTTGAATCATGAATATTTTTTCTAATCCGTGAACATTCTTTGAATGCACAATCAATTGTTTAGTAGGTGCTTTAAAATAGTTTATTGTATTCAAAGAAATCTTCATTGTGTATAATTAAAAAGTTCATCGTATATAAAAATTTCACTATATATAAAAAAGTATTCAGTGTATAGTTGCAAAAATATTAGTGTGTAGTCAGAAAATGATCTTCATATAATCAAACATTATTCACCATATATTAGAACATTTTTGGTATTGTTAACATTTTTATAATTTGACAAAATATGTAAACTCGTGAACATGTTTTTTTAAAATATGTTTAGATCAAACTGTGTTCCTTACTGAAAATTAATTATAAAATATGAGAGTGAAAAATGCAAAAAGCAAAAGGCAAAAAAAAATCGTTGGTAACCTAGAAGCTAGCGATAAGAGACGTATTTGTAAATACTCCCTCCATCCGGAAATACTCGTCGGAGAGATGGATGTATCTAGACGTATTTTTGTTCTAGATGTATCCATTTTTATCCATTTCTATGACAAGTATTTTCAGACGGAGGGAGTATATAACGATCATGCATAAAAGCTAACAAATCGATGTTAGCACTAGCAATCAGTTCTTTTTTCTAAGAAAGCTAGCGATCAGATTCTTTTTTGTACGGGTAGCCACCCTGGCGGACGCGGGGCTAGCTGGTTTTTAATTTCGGACTTTGGGCTTTGACAAATTAAAATCAATTAAACAGGACAAACAATGAAAAAAAAATGAGATGACACTGACATCATATTTAGATGTGAGAAATATTAATCTTACATCTAGATGCGACATAGAAGGACCTGAATGAAAATGGTAAAGTTTTTTTTTTCTTTGAAAAGAGGATTACCTCATCCTGCATTAGGATGCACACAGCAAACATAAATCAAGGTCCAGTCACCGAGTTTCAGACAGTGAAGAAGAAGAAGAAAAAAATACAACCACAACCAGTCAAACTCGAGATTACATAGCTCATTCACATAGTCTACGATTGGCTCGCCTACACAGTGTACACACTATGTTCTAAAAAAACATATGCAACGGTATACAAATATGGACGCACTATGTACCGATCACGCAACCACGTGGGTGTTGGGGACAAGCATGAGCTTCTCCTTTCTACGCACAGTCAGACCAAACACCTCCGTCATATCGATCTCGTCCCTCTTCATGCCGACCGGCAGCTCCCAGTCGAAGCAGTATGCGAGGTTCGCCAGCATGATCTCGACGGTAGCCAACCCGAAGTTGAGACCGGGGCATATTCTCCGGCCAGCCCCGAATGGCACGAACTGAAAGTCTTTGCCCGTCAAGTCCACCGCTGCCGCGGTGCCACCCTCGAGGAATCTCTCAGGCACGAAGTCGTCCGGCTTCTCCCAGGACCCGGGGTCTCTGCCAATAGCCCATGCGTTGACGATGACTCGAGTCTCAGAAGGTATGCTGTAGCCGTCGAGGTCGCAGTCCGCCATCGCCAGGTGTGGGAGGAGGAGCGGCGCCGGCGGATGCAGTCGGAGCGTCTCCTTCACCACGGCCTTCAGATAGGTCATGCCGGCCAGGTTATGCTCCTCGACAAATTCTTGTCCGGCGGGAGTGCCGCGTCGCACCTCAGCTTGCAGCTTGACCATGAGTTGATCAGGTTTGCGCATGAGCTCGGCCATGGCGAATTCTAGGACCAGAGACGATGTGTCCGTGCCCGCTCCGAACAGGTCCTGTACGTACGTACATTGTTCACCAGAGGTAATTGTGTGAGGCAATATAACCCGGTGCGTGTAACGTATTTTTCTATATTTAATTACTTGCTCACCATTAAGATGGCCTTGATATGGTCTCTGGTGATGCCATGAAACTCTTGCTGAACCGATAGCAACACGTCGATGAAGTCACTCTCTCCTTGCTCGTCGACACCGTTCTCCCTGCCATGGTGCATCGGGTTTTTCTCGTGGTCTCTTATTATCGCTTCTAGCAGTTCGTCCCACCGCTTGTGTGTCGTCTCGACGTTGTTGCGGACGAACCTATGGAGAAGACGTACCTTGGCTAACCTTGGGAAGTAGTCCTCCATATGAAACCCTCCGACGAGAGCTGAGTTTTCCTCGATCAGCTCTCTGAACATTTTATTCCGGCCTTCCGCCCTGAAGAACTTACCCGACACAGCGCGGCACACCACATCGTTGGCGTAGGTGTTCACCACCTCGCCCAGGTCCACGGCCACGCTCGCCGCCGCGGCCTCACGGATCCTAGAGATCACCACTTTCACCTATACATGCAAGAGCAGAGCAGGTTACGTATATATGTTCTTCATTCTCACAAACATGCATGATCAGATTCAGAGGGTGATGATGCTGACCTCCTGTTGACGGGCGATGCGGAACAACTGGACCTTTTTGACTGTGAAGAGGTGCGTGGTGACGAGCCTCCTCGCCTGCCGCCAGTGCTCGCCGTAGGGGGAGAAGGCGATGTCGGACGACCAGCCGTACAAGAGGGCGTCGGCGATCCTGGACGGCGGGCGGGACGCAAAGAGGTGGTCGTTCGTCCGCATGACCGCCTGGGCGGCTCGTGGGGACGACACGACGAGGTTCGGGACGGAGCCGAGGTGGAGGAGCATGAGGCCGTCAGCGGCATGAGTCCTGGAGAGGCTGCGGAGGGAGACGTGAGGGAGATCGCCGACGAGGTGCAGGTGCCCTATGATGGGAAGGGCCGGAGGCGAAGGAGGGAGACACTTCGCCTTTGCTTGCTTGCTGCTACCGCCTCCGCCGGTTGTGGCCAGACGCAGTAGTAGTATGATGAGCGACAGTAGCAGAAGTGCTTGTAGCTGTAGAGGGGTCTGCTGCATGAGATGGTACACTACTTCTACACAGCGAGCCATGGGGTAGGCTGGGGTGCAACTGGTGTGTGGTACGGAGAGAGCTGAGGATGCATACTATTATTTATAGCTGCGTGAGAAGTTTTCCCGCACGTGGTTAATTTATCTTCACCGCTGGGCGAGGCTTCCAGTTCCGTGCTAGACTAGTGGTGCACAGTGGCACCTTTCCTTTTCACGCTTCAGTACTAGTACTATTACTCGAGGGTGCCAGACACATCTCAGCGCGAAGATGCTAAATGGAGCTCCGGCTTCATGGAGCCCGACTATTGAACAAATACTTTTATGTTTCAAAAAATTCTGAAAACAAATACACATATACCCATATAGTACGTACTTTTACATATTTTTGACACAGTCCAATATAATTCATGGATATTAAAAATCAAGGGTTTAACTTTTAATAATGTGTGTAAATTTTACGATGAAATATGTAAAAGTATTGTTCACTCTCAAAATCCAAGATTTTGTTCCGCAGCTTGCAATTCAAGTTCCTTCGTCTTGAAATTTCGCACACATATACATAACATCCTTATATACGTGTATAATTTTTTCCAGATCATTTTGAAACCTAAAAATTTGAATTTTGAAGTTTTAAAAATAGCAGGCTCCATGGAGCTCGTCCTCCAAAAGCCCAATTGTGAAAGGAGAAGCATTTCTAATGGAGTCGGATGCCTGTAGTCAATACTATGCCGTCCCGTGCTAAGATTAGAGATTGCATTTCTTATACGTGTATATATTTGGTATTGATCTACCAAAAAAACTAAATAATATTATCTTGATATTTTTGACACAGTCCAATATAATTCATGGATATTAAAAAATCATGGATATATTTGGCATTTCAAAAAGTCATATTTTTCCTTCAAACTTTTTCAATTATTTCAGTCACTTCCTTATATTTAAAAAGTGATATTTCAAGTATTTCATAAAAACCCATTATTTATGTTATATAAAATTACATTTTGAAATATATTCTACATGTATGGCTATATAACCATACGCATTTCAGTTATTTCGTAAGGATTTTAATTCATCTGAGAAAAAACACCGTCTGAACACTAAAACCCAAGCTAACTCAGATAAAATCAGAATGAAACAACTGACCGCGATAACCTTCTAGAGAAAAAAAGAGTCATCCCACGAATGAGGACGGTATGGCGAAGTGCTCATTATTGTCCTCTATCGGTTGTTGATTGGGAACTTCCTACTGCATTAACTTTTAGTTATTTTACTCTATCCTAAGACTGGGAGTGAAAGTGTATTCCCAACCATTTAGAAAAAGAGAAGGAAAACACGTTGGTGGCGACGTGAGAAAAGACTTGTGGATGTAGTCCAGAGAAAAATGAGGCAAGGAGGTGTTCGACTTGGCGAAATTATTGTCCACTAGATGGTTAAATACTCGGCTTCATCCTTTTTACCATGGATACATCGAACATAACATCTTATCATGGATGGTTAGAAAGTGGGCAAGAACACGACAGGTTAATCAGCGAGGCTGCAAAATGCACTTTGTCCCGTAATGTGTTTTATTACTACGTAAGTTACTCCCACTATGGCTAGCCTCGGCACGCAATCAACTAAGAGTAGATGATTCACCCGACCAGTAAGCACACGATGGGATATGAAAGTGATCACACGTCAATTGGATCGACATATCCGATTTGAGGTAGCTGACCAGATATGCCATATGGTAGTATTTAATTTCCATAGTGCATTCCGTTTTGAATCCTAGACTATGGTGTTTCATTTGGCTTTAACCTTAAATTGAACTACGAAACTATCTACGTTGGACCTTCAATTTTCTTAAAACCACTTAACATGCTGGAGTTAATGGGCAGATTTATCCAAGTCACATAGCAAAATTTTAGAACAAAGGTGGACATGGACATTTTTCTTGTTTTGGAAATGGTGGAAGTCTATCTTTATTTTTTGAAACACTAAACATGCTACTAAAGGGATAGAAACTTAAGTGTTTCTCAAATTTTGTAAAGGAACATTTACAAATGATTTGTGATTTTTCAAAAAGTGTGGACGTCTCTCCCTCAACTCATGGATGGATGTAAGGCCATCTCCATCAGTTTCTCTTTTCGTAGAAGTTTCTGGTTTAAGGGGAGTTAGACCAAAAAAAAGAGCTTCAACGATTCCGTGAAAGCACCCCATATAATCAACTTAACCCCCTCCCATCTAGGAGAAGATGACTCTTCCTATAAACCTTTCTCTAAATGTGACTTCGTAAATCTCAACATGATATGCCAGCTCAGTCTCTCGAAGGTGCTCATACAAGTAAGGTGTATGTGTGTGCGTTCATACGGATGAGTGTATGAGCGTATGTATGAGCGCTTGTGTCTGTACTATGTTAAAAAAAAAGTCACGAAGTGGAGATATGCATGCATGGGGCTGCATCATGCACTCTGCTAAGAAATGCAGGAAATCAACTTAATAAATAACAGCGTCGGTCAAATCCATGGGGACCTCTTACACACGTGTCATAAAACACATTGAAGCCCCTCTAGCGACGTGGGGTAAACCCTAGCCGCCGCCCTCGCCGCCCTACCCTACGTCGCTGCTGCCGGAGGGATGGCCGGCGAAGCCGCGCCGGCCCCTAGGATGGCGGCGGCGGGGCGGATCTGGCCCCTTACGCGCTCCCTCGCCTCCATCCCGCTCCGCCCTGCCCCACCTTGCCCCGCCCTGCGACTTCCTCTTGCGACCAACAGCCTCCTCCGGCTGATCCGGCAAGGGCTACGACGTGCCTTCGCCATGCTGCGAGGCCGGATCCGGGCCCTCCTCGACGGTCCCCCCTCGGCGTGACTCAGGGCCCCCGTGCGCGACTACGAGCTCGCTCCTCGCACGCCCCTCCTCTGGACGCGCGTGGTTGTGGCTCCCCGTATGGGCTGCTCCTCGCTAGCTGGCCTGGGCCGTCCTCTGGTTGTGGTGCCCCCCCTCACCCACCCCCTAGTTCCATTGATGGCAGGGCATAGCGTCCGCCGCAGTGTGTCGGCCGGTCTGCGCGGCGGGCGTGTTGCTTTTCATGGCGGCCCTCTTCCTCCTCGCGAGTACGTTCTAGCGTTGACCCCTGGCAGCCATGAACGTGCGTCCTCTTCCTGTGTTCCTGGCTGGGCCGGGTCCATGCTGGCACGGCCCTGGACCCGGCATGCTCTGGGAGCTGCGTTCCTCTTCCAGCTTCTTGGGCTTGCCGGGGCCCAGGTGTTTTAGGCCCTAGCGGCCCGGATCTGCGCTCCTCTCCGGATCTTGGACCGTCCGCGTTGCTGGCCACCCGTTGCATCGTCTTTGCCTTCGCCCCCGAATTCCCCTCCGCCTATTCGCCCAACCAAGCTCACCTCTACGTGTCGCTCTTGCTCCTGTCGGATTTGTAGCATGCTCTCCCGGTGATGTGCAATGCCGGCTTCAATGACGGGCGTTGCTCCCCTCCCTGCGATTGGTGACTTCGTCATGTGTTTCGACTTCCTCCTCTCCGTCCCGGCGGCTTGGGATTGCTTAGACAAAGGCCAGGGCGAAATTCCTGCTCGGCTTGCCGGTGCTGGCAGCGGCCACACCTGCGGGTGTCGTCCCTTTTTTGGAGGCGCTGCCATGGTCTTCGTCTTAGCCCCTCCTCGAGCATTAGGGGAAACCCAAAGTCCGGGCTCCTGGACCGGACGACGACGGCGTCTTGACACTGTTCCCCTTATTGAAGGTGTCGTCTTGTTCGCTCGCGGCGTCCCCGACGTTGGAGTTGGATGTTGGTTGTCTTCATTATGTTCGTGTTGCTTCTCAGAGCTGGGAGAGTTTTGTCGTGTTGTTCTTTTCATTTCTTTATGCTGAGCACCCCATGTCCCTCTGCTTCGGGCACCATGTCATTCGTGCATGTGTTGTTCCATACCCTGTATTCACTCTTCTTCTTCTATCAATGGAAATAAAGCACATTGAACCAATGGCAACAAATTTGACTTGCCAAAAATGAAAATTCAGTTGCCTGACATATACTAGCTAAAGTGAAAAATGATACCATGCGTAAAATGCAGCAGTAGTCGAGTAGCTAGCTAGGCCTTTATCACATTTCACAAGATGAATATGTCTATGCCCAACAACAAGATGCAGGACAGAAGCAGAGGAGGAGGAAGAGCCATCTGTTGAGTCGAGGAGGACTGAAATGGAGATGAACTGCTGAGCTTTAGATAGACTTGCACAAGAAGATGTGACTTGCATTGAAATGGAAGTAAAGCTCGGGCATGATGAGACCGGAGCCAAAAAAAGCTTAGGTAGGCAAGGACTTCTATACGGATTTTCCCCTTTCCTTGTATTATACGGATTTTGAGACAGAGGAGGTTGCCATCTTTTCTTCAGTGGAATCTGTTACCACACATCAGAATTGAAGTCTTTGTTGGTTATCAAAAAACTTGATTGTCTGTTTACTGTTGTGCAGATTTCATGTGGGTGCTCTGAAGTCTGAACCGATGATATCCAACTTGCTAGTAGTAGAATATCCTTCTTAGGTCTGAGACATTCAACATTTGTTTTTCTTCCTTGGACTTCACATCTGTTACTCACAACTAGATTTTTTTCAATGAGATTCAGAAGCTTAGCAGACTCAGACCAGTTATAGAAAGCTCAACCAGATTCAGAAGCTTAGCAGGAATCACCGTTACCTCAAGATCAATATTTTTCAACCAGATTCAGAAGCTTAGCATATTCAGACCGATTATAGAAAAGCTCAATCAGATTCAGAAGCACAACCAGATGCACTACTATCACCATGATGCGTAAAATGGAGCTCTTTTAGCCAACTCCATTTCTAGCACGCCATCAGGATAGATATTGTTCGACCATCAAGTAATTTCCTTGCTACAGTAGTCCAATGATTGCTCAAGTCAAAGAATTACATCAAGTAATAACCCATAACTAAGTTTCCTGCAACTACTTACTGTTGGAAATATGAGCAATTTATCGAATGATTTTATTAACAGAAATACTAGATAAAGCATGACTAAAATAGCTAATATAAAGCA